GTGTGTGTGTGTGTGTGTGTGTGTGTGTGTGTGTGTGTGTGTGTGTGTGTGTGTGTGTGTGTGTGTGTGTGTATGTGTGTGTGTGTGTGTGTGTGCTAGTGTGTGTTTGTGCGTGCGCGTGTGTGTCTGTGTTAGTGTATTCGAGTGCGTGTTTTATTGTGTGTGTGGTTGTATGACGTGTATGCTACACGCGTGAGGAAGGATCGTACGCGTATTAGGATCTGAGAGGCGTGTGTGTGTGTGGGTGGCGTGTGCGGGCGCGTATGTTTGTGTGTGTGCGTGTGCCTGTCTGTGCATTTTTTTGCGCGTGTGTGCGTGTTCGGGCACATTTAACGCGCGGAGATGCGCGCAAAGGTGTTTCCACGTCATTTTTGCGCGTGTGTGTGAGATTGCGCACATTGAACGAGCAGAGAATCGTGTGCTTGTCTTGCGAATCACGAAAGGTCTTATCGAACACATGGTTGCCAATCACGAAACACAATCACATCTTGAGCACTTACCACACTCGATGTGATCCTTTGTGCTGTCCCACTTTCATATCCGCCGTTCTGCCCAATGGATGATCGATCAAAACAGGCGGTGCCAATGTCGACATAGCGAACGCATTCGTCGACCAATCGCAAAACACGATCATGTCAATCGTGATCGATTCAACTGACCAGCAGAGAAAGCTCCGCGCGAACACGTGGTGACAATGTCCACAACGTACACTCGATGAACCGACCCATCACGAAACATAAGCCAAACACTCGCGATCGGGTGATTGATGCTGATTGATGTCGCAACAATATCGCCCCTGATCCGCCTAACGGATGATTAATCAGTGCACGAGGAGACAACATCGGGATCGCAAACACATCCATCCGACCGATCGTGGAACGCTAACAGATTACTCGCGATCGGTCGATTGATCGTGTGGGCTGTCCCGACGTTGCCACCACGTGTGTGTTTGGCTTGTCTCAATGGCAACATCAAAACCGCAGCAATGTGCGTGTTTGTGTGTTTGTGCGTGTTCGTGCGAGTGCTATTTTAGCACCGGGACCTGTTATGTGTTCCTGCAGGCGATGTGCGTGTGCGCGCGTCTGTGCGTCTGTGTGCGCGCGTGCGCGATCAACCCGTCGGCGAAACAAGAGTCGATTGGTCAGGAGATCTGCCACGATAACGTGTTTGATCGGGTGCTCTGTTGGCGGTTGTTCGAGTGGTTGATCTATCAGCACACCAACCGCCAACCGAGCACCCGATCAAACAACTGATCCTAACAGATCTCCTGACCAATCGAGTGTTCTGTCGAAGACTACCAGCAAGTTCGATAGACCAGTCGCTCCCCGACCAGATCATCACTCCGCAGATGTTGGAAGCAGATGCATCGAGCGACCCATCTGCGACAAATCCATTCTTCGCAAAGAATCCACAAGGCAATTGATAATGTGCCCGCGAGCGGATCAAACAATGTTGTTGGTCATCGAACCTTATATAACATCGAACCATGTTAAGCATGTAACCTGGCTTCACATCAAACCTCGGCGGGCGTCGAACCTCGTCGGACGTCGAACTTTGGCGAACTGATCGTGCAATCAAAGTGAACTGATCGCGCAATCAAACACCTGAAGAAGTTTACATTCCGGCGAGCTTGTGCACCTGTTCGAACACGTTTCGCAACCCCCGCCCCACAACCACAGCCAAGGATGTGCAGGAATTCGAAGTCCGCCGGGATCCGAACTTCAAGAAATTGTTGGAGGGTGAGTTTGGCAAACAGGTGTGTGTCTCCCACGCAATTTCGCCAAGTTCTGCGACAAATCCATTCTTCGCAGAGAATCCACAAGGCAACTGATAATGTGCCCGCGAGTGGATCACACCATGTTGTTGGTCATCGAACCTTGTATAACATCGAACCATGTTGGGCATGTAACCTGGCTTCACATCAAACCTCGGTGGGCGTCGAACCTCGTCGGACGTCGAACTTTGGCGAATTGATCGTGCAATCAAACTGAACTTATCGCGCAATCAAACACCTGAAGAAGTTTGCATTCCGGCGAGCTTGTGCACCTGTTCGAACACGTTTCGCAACCCCGCCCCACAACCACAGCCGAGGATGTGCAGGAATTCGAAGTCTGCCGGGATCCGAACTTCAAGAAATTGTTGGAGGGTGAGTTTGGCAAACAGGTTTGTGTCTCCCACGCAATTTCACCAAGTTCGGATCCCGGCGAACTTAATGTTCCCGCCTTTCGGAAGACATGTTTGCGGCCCGCCTGCAGGGTTGTGGATCCGAACCTCCCTTGCAAGGTCCCTGGTGCAGTCGTCAGGTCCGGACCTCGGTGAACTTCGGTTTGGTGAAAATGCGAAGTCCGCTGGGATCCGGACTTCTCCTGCACGTTCCCTCGCACATACATCAAGTTTGGATCCCGTCGAACTTCGCTTTTTCGCATTGTTTGGGTTCAGAATGCGGACTTGGGCGCCTGGGGGATCGCCACAACCTCGGACTATTAAACACTTGAAGTCCGCTTGGACATCGGCGAACTTGAGATTTCGTCCTTTCTCGATTCATGTTTCCGGCCCGCCTACTGGGTCGTGGATCCGAACCTTCCGTGCACGGTTCCTCGGACACTCGTCAATTTCGAACCCGGGCGGACTTCGGATTTGATAAAATGCAAAGTCCGCTGGGATCCGAACTTCTCGTGCACGGTTCGTCGTGCGGCCGTCAAGTTCGGACACAGGCGTGCTTCAAATCCCTGGTGGTGTGGGTTCAGACTTTGGAGTTTCTAGCGCCCGGTGGATTGCCACAACTTTGGATTCGTGAAAATGTCATGTCCGCCGAGATCTGAACTTCAAAAAAGTTCAAGATGGCGAGTTTTAGAGACACCTTTGTCTCTCCCGTGTCGTCTCGCCAAGTTTGGATCACGCCGGACATGACGTTCCCGCCTCTCGTGGGACATGTTTGTGGCTGGCCCATTGGCCGGTATAAGTGAACACCAACCAAGTCGACCACCCAGATTCAAATCTTCTAGCGTGCGGTCCGTCTAATACCATAGGTCGCAGATCACGGAACAGGACATGTTTACGAGTGTCCCCGTGCCCGTGTGTCCCGTTTGGTATGTGCGCGTGGTGTGTAGGGTGCGTAATGGAGGCGACCTTCTCGACATCACGAATCATGGAGTCGATGTTCTCCACACCACAAACCATGAGTCCCGAGACGCACATTCACATGACAGAACCATTTCGTCCTTGCGCGAGATCTGTGCGGTATTTTAACGGTGTGACTACGATCCATGGAGCGACCGCAGAGGACTTCGACGAGGACCCCTGGATGACCGTCGTCCCGTGCATGGGACGGCATATTGACGATTGGTGCAATGGGAATTGGGCCACGATGGAGAGTCGCTGTCCATGGGCGAGCCAGTACAAGTTCGCCAACATGTTGGAGTTCGGGAACCTCATCCTGGTGTCTGACGCTCTCCTCGGACACAAGTTCCTGAACCATATGCGCAGAGCACTTGGCTGCATTAGCCGCCTTTTGAGCTGCCTCGAGTGCCACTACGTCAGGTCGTCGCCACGAACTTGGGAAGGCTCGCGGAAACAAGAGTTGGTGGACTACGCTCGTCACTGCTCGTTCTTGGAGCAGTACCCGCTCTGGTGCCCTGGGAATTCTCCACAAGTTGTGTCATACTGTTGTATGCGATTGACTGTGTCGGGCACTGATTACGCCAAAGTTCTATGTATCGCTGCTTCGAACAAGAGCAGGAACCTCGTCGACGCAGTTGTGCTTGTGTCACGGAACGAGGTGGTGATTGAGGGGTCTAAATTCGTGTGGACGCGTGGGCCCGTACGTCCAGATGGTTGGCGCGATTTGGTGATAGTAGGGCGGGTCCAAAACTTTTCATTGCATCGTGAGGTCGAGGAGAAAGTGTCCGACATACGGGACTGTATAGGGAATTCCTTAGCACGACCGGGAGTGTTTGTTAGGATGAAATACATGTCCGTCTTTTCGGAGAGGGCATCGGTAGACGAACCGCAGATCCACGTATACGGATCATCAATGAATGCTTTGTATGGCTTCGGTTCACGACGTCGTCCCAGGGGAACCCCGAATGTCGGCTCGTCTGAACTGGTAGTCAGACCTGTTGTTTAAGGGAAAAAAAGGGAGAGGTATGAGATGTCGTTTTGTTGCCTACAATATTAGATGTGTAGCAGTGGAGGGAGGTGTGAGAGGCAACAGTTGCTAGTAGACGCTACACTGTGCACTTCTCGTGCAAATCCCTGATCGTGGAACATTTCAACAACCGCCGAAAATCATGTTGGAGGTCTATCTCTGACGCCGTTTCCTTCCATGTCGTGCCGCGGCGAAGTTCGGATCCCGGCGAACTTCGCGTTTTGGGATGTGCGTTGGTTTGTCTTTCGTACTGCTGGCGTCGGGTGGACCGCAATCTGGATATGTTTTGAGCATTGACGGACTCAATCACTACTGCCATCAAAACCTGCGGTCAGTTGTGAGACCCGGGGCTCTCCCACCATAACCTTGCTCGGACCCCACCTTTCGTCTGAGCTCAAACGTGATCTAGTATTTATCTTTGTGTATCTTTCTCGCGGCGTCCTGAAGTTCGGATCCAGGCGGACTTCCTGTGACGCCTGTCTATTGGACAGCCAGTGATCTTCCGGATCCCCTGTGGATTGCGACAACAGCTCCTCTCCACCCTGTTCCGCACGTGTCGTTCTGTCCCGCCAGGGACCCATGCAATGTTGTCACGGCTGCTACGCATATCAGAAGAAGTTCTGTGTGGCATTTCCAGGTCGCGGTTGAGTGCACGGACCGTGTGTCTCTGGCACCGTCTCTGCCTGTCGCATCGTTCTGAAGTTCGGATCCCGGCGAACTTCAATTTTCGGGAGGTGCGTTGGTTTGTCTTCGGACATGCCCGTCCGGTGGTTCGCACAACCCGCCCGGCGACCGGGAGAGTCCGTCTCCGACTTCTGGTTTTGATCAAATGCAGTTGCGGAGTATATTCACTCGAGCCCGGTTCTGGAACGCCGGCTACATGGGCTGGCTGTTTCTCTCTTTCTGTCGCACCGTCTTTTAGCCGGGACCAATGTGGTTGTCGCCCGGCCGCATGACGTGTGTCCCTTTTTAAAGATTGATTTCGTTGCAGGTAAGAGGTCATTAAAGGTCTTCCCGTCCAAATTTCGTCGGGATCCGAACTTCAAGGTCCCGGAACGGTTGACCTCAATGTTTGCCGCCCTTGTTTTTTGCCTGCGTTGTGTTTTGTCTGCGACCTGACGCTCTTTGGTGGTTCATTTGTTTCTCGTTGTCGTCCGCAGACAAGATGTCTTCTTCGAGGGGCGAGGGGGAGCCTGCAGCGACCTCCGGGATGGGATCAGGGAAAGATTCCACAAAACGTTCGTCTACGACCTCCAGGTCGTGGTCGGACCACGCAAGGTCAAAATGGTTCGTCGACTAGTGTTGTGGTGATGCTTCGAACCCAGTTCAACAGCCGTGTGGTCCTGTAATCTTCGTTGAAGCCAATAAGCGCCGCCGGGTTCTGGGGGCTGTCTTGCGGTGGGAGAATGCGAAAGGCAGTCGTTGGCGGTTCAACATGAAAAATGTGTACGGTTCCAAGGGGAACGTCGTCGCCGGTGCCAAGGGGGCGGTTCTCGACATGTGTCTTTTCGAGGGGTTCGGAGCGGGTGCTGCGAACACCCCGTTTTACAACGACCTCCGGCGGCAGGGCGGGTTTGTTTTGGGTCGAGAGTTCTTCGACTTGTTGGATGAGAAGGACATCGCCCTCGACGTCCCTTGCGAAGTCGGCCCCGACCTGGAACTGTCAACGCCTTTGCAACAGTACGGCGGGTGTGAGTCGAGCGGGGCAGCGGGGGAGGGGAGGGATCTCGATTCCGGCGAGGCTACACATGTGCAGCGGGAGGATGCCAGAGGTCAGTTTGATGACAACGAAGATGAGGCGACACCGCGTCCGCCGTTTTTAGCGTCGAGGGAAAGTGACTGGTCCGTGATGTCCATACCTGGGGTACGACAAGAGGTCGCAGCGGATCCCGAAGAAGATGCAGTCCAGTGTGGGTCCGACTTGGAGCCCGGCGAGGGCCATGGCGCAGACGACAAGGTCGTGGGCGGTGAGGGAGCGCAGGGGACTCCCCAAAAAAGGAGGGGAGATTGTCAAGAGGACGTGGTAGGCTCTTCGAAGAATCAGAAGACAAGGACCCCGAAGACTACGGGAGAAAAACGGAAGGGAAGGGGGGTGGAAGAGGACCACTTGAGTAGCAAACGTCTTACTTCAAAATAGAAACAGCCTACGTCAGGACCTTCCACGACGAGGCCTGACATCGACGTGGACGCCGGGTACTTCCTGGAGTACAAGGACGGCGTGAGGACAAGGCGGGAGTTTGAGATTAGCCCGGCTCAGATCGTCGAACTCGGGGAGTGGGAGGATCTTTACAACCAGCGATCGTTGGATCCTGTCCTCGTGGGAACGATAAAAGAAGCAATGCAGTATGCGTTCGAAAATAAAAAGCAGACGTACGAGTTGCCGATCTTCAAGCTCGCACCACAGGGGCTTCAAAAACCAACTCCCGGGACCAAGGCTCAACGTCTGAAGCCGAAGGAGTGTAAGGACGAGCTGGGAGAATACTACTACTACGCGGTGTGTGGGCAGCATAACGTGGTTGCAGCCCGGTCGCTGCTCAGGAGTGAGGTGGCCAAGAAGTACAATTTCGAGCGGTGGCCGGCCCAGATGCTTCATTTTTCGGACGACGAATTCGAAGGGTATTTTCTTGTTAGTTCACAAGACAACAAGAAGGACCTGAAGGCGCCTCCCAGACAGTTGAAGCTGTCTATGAAAGACATTCGGTGAAAGTGGAAGCATGACGGCTGCCCGAGAGCTGTGATGGGGAACCCTAGAGGGAAACAAGATCAGGTCCGGGCTTAGTGTAAGTTTTGTACAATGGCGCTCCATAAGACGCCTCACAACAGCTTGTGGATTCTCGCGGATCAAAAGGAAGAGGAGGCCCTTAAGAAACAAAATGCTGCCCTGCGTTCTTATTTCCCTCTCACGATGGTCGGAGAAAATGTCTGGAAACTGGCCCTGGAGTTTTTCGAAAAATGGGAGATGGGTAGATTGCTGAGCCACGACGGAGCGAAGTGGATCGTGAAAAAGAAGAAGGTCAAAAACGTCAAGCCTGAGGTCGCCTACATCCACAACGACAAGTTGGGCAGAACTGAGGTGGTGTACAACGTCCATGTGGACCCACTGAATAAGAAAGGCAAAAAGGAGAAGGAGGAGGGCGATTGGTTCGTGCAAGTGCCTGACCCGGACGCGCATTGTTGGAAAGCAATGGAATCACTCACGGACAATGAGAAGTGTCGAGTTCTAAAGAAGTTGCTTGCTTGTGAGGTCGTTTGGGTCCAGGCCGGCTCCCCGTCGTTGGCGAAGCTCTAAAGAACGTGCAGGACATCGTGCAGCTGGTGAAGTGCGACCGCATGCCGGTCCAGTTGTGGAATTACTACTAGTTCAAACACGAAGAGAGGCCGGACTCGGATTGGATCCAAAGGTACCCTTTCATGAGATCGAGGTCTACAGTGTTGAGGAAGTTTGAAAGTCAGGGATTGGATGACGAGTTGTGGGATAACAGCAGGAAACACGTTTCATACTCGACGTTGTTCAAGGACTGCCCGTCGTACATGGGTTGCGACCAGGACAACTCGATTGAGGTGACGGAGAAGTTCGCGGAACACAACAAGTTGTCCGTTGACTAGAGAAACAAGGTTCTCTCCGTGTTGAATGGGAGCAGACTGAAGAGCCGGGAGGTCGCACTTGCCGAAGGCATTGTTCACATTAAATGGAAAGACATGGGGGATGTGACATCCATCGCGCCGTTCGCTAACGACCCTTTGGAGGCGGACATGAAGGGCGCAGAGCTGAAGGAAGCAGTGGCTGCCACAAAGAGCCACACGTTTGTCCTCGATCTGTGCGAGCCGGTTGACCTCAAACTGTGGAAGGCCCAAGCGTGGGAGACATTGGATTCCTATCTTCAGATGTGGTGTCCGTCGCATTGGACTCTCGTTGTTTTCGTACCGTGGCAGCACAACCTCACGTTTCTCGCCAGCATGCACCTTCTTTCTTTTGTCAAGCTGTTGGAAGGGAAGTGGGTGAGGAGAGTTCAGCAAAAGAAAAGCTTCCCCATTGGGAATAATTTGTACACGGAGGAAGACCGCATGTACATCCTCTTCAAGGGTGACGATCTGCGCGCCAACATATCCGTGGTCTACGAGGGAAACCTGCCCAGGGGTGCCGCTACTGAGGTGCGATTGCCTCAGAGGGTCACCCAGACGGATGTGTCCGAGATTCCCTTTGTGCCTTGCGATTGGTCGCTGGTGGCTCCGGAACGACAGGGCAGTGTCTCCGGGGATATGGAATGCAATCCGACACAATTCGTCGGTCTTCTTGATTTTCTTGGCAAGAAGGGAGAGGGTGTCGTGTTCCTTGGGAAACCGCACACGCAAAGCGTTTGGGATCTTCTTAAGGCCAACCGGCACGTTGTCGCGATGGAAGGGAACACCAAGCTCTTGCAATTCACGATGCAGGTGGTGAAAAGCGAGGTCAATTCGGGCGGGCGCAATTGTGAGTTCATGGTCGTGAAGCCAACACGGGATAAGGTGCGGAGTAACAAAACGGATATGTGGTTCAAGTTGAGCGAGAGGAAGAGGAACAAGATATACGATTTCTTGTTCCTTCAAACGCGTTCGAGGAAGGACTCTGACGCCGAGTACGTCCTCCGGAAGGACCACATGTTCGCACTGCTCGACAACTACGACTTCGCCTCCCGCATGATCGCGAAGACGTTTCTCGATAGGCTGCAGTCGCTGTACTTCGTGGAGCTCGAGCATCAGTTAAAGTTAGTCAGTTACGCTTCCCTGATCTCCATTGATGACGAGGAAGCCACAGGTGTGGAGTTTGTTGCCAACGCGAAGGAGGAGGAGAGCGACACAGAGAGCATTGATCTGCAGTACAACCCACCTCCGGCGGACCACAGCAGAGGGTCGTCGTCGGCCGGTCTGTCACCGAGCGCTGCAGCCCTTGTGTCACCGTCGGCCAAACCGTCGCCGGGCACCACGCCGATGAAGTTGATGGAGAGACTCAGAGCTCTGGCCGTCCTCCCACCCGCCTTGCGTCCTGGGTCCGACATCCCGCCCGATCATCCATCTTGGCAGGATAACCACATCCACTTCCTGCTTGAGCCACAACGTCATTCGCCTGAGCTGGAATGGGGCCATGACATGGTGTGGCATCCGGGAGTCATCCAGCCAGCGATATGAAAGGGCGAGTGGGTCATGGCCGTCGCAATCCCGGGCGCGGGATGGGCGTCATTCCCGCGCGAGTCGAAGTCCAACTTCCTGCACCTCGCGAGGATTTCGGTCCTCCGGAAAGTGACGGCCGAGAATGACACCTTTGCACCCGGCAACCTGTCCCTCATTTCCACAGCCAGTCGACTGTTCGACGAGCTTCAGGACAAGTGCTGGTTGGAATTGACGGAGGACTACTACGACCTCGACACAAGTCCGTCGAAGGGCATGGTGGACTGGAAAGTGCCCCCTCCTAGTGGCCCGGACGGTAGTTCAGGGGGGGGGGCACCTGGGAGTGGAGGGGATGGGGGTGGTGGCGCGGGGGGTGGCAAAGGAATCCAGAGAAGTGGGGAGAGGGGGTCTCATGACCGCAACACGACACCGGGAGGCAGCGGCGGGGTGGCGGGTTTCGCCGTTGACCGGCCTCCGTCGACAGGCACCTTCCCGGATCATACGACACAGTCCGCGGACCTCCCGACTTCGTCCGTGGGCTCAGCGAGGGACACGTTGGCAGCTTTGCTTGCTCTGGGCAGTCGCTCCGGTGGAATGTTGAAGTCTGCCGGGATCCGGAATGCAAAGCCGCTTTGGGTCGGGGGAGCCAAGCAAGGATCCCGAAATTGGTAGCATTGCAGCGCGGGACGGAAACGTGGAAAATGTGTCGCCTGAGTAGGAGCGACGACCGGAAGGATTGCAGCGAGAGGCTGCAGGTACAGGATCCGGCGACACGGAGACGACGAAGTACGCCGAGATCCGAACTTCTTCGCGCGGGGGGTGTCGGCCAGGGATTGCTGTGCCGTTCAGAGGGGCAGCGTGCACGGAGACGGAAGGGCGGTCCTCGGGATTCAGCACGGGTACAGAGGAAGCGGATGAGTTTCGTGGAAGGGAAGTAGGGGAGAAAATTGAGGAACAAAGGGGAGCGCTAGAAGGGGAGGAAGAAGGGGAGGAAGAAGGGGAAGAAGAGGCGGGAGGGGAGGAAGCGGGAGAAACGGAGGTACTTAATTTGCTTGGAGGAAGGGAGGGTGCCGGATCTAGAGACGACGAGGTGGAGCACAGTGAGGACGATGCCGGATCTAGAGAGTCGTCTGACGAGTTCGGACAACTGTACGGAGAGCATCACGAGGATGATGTCGACGACGATCCCACGGCAATAAAGATGGAGACACAGGTCGTTAGCAGCCTTTCCGGGCAGCCAAAAGATTATGAGGTCCGACCACTTACGTCTGCTGTCGACTTGCAACACCGCTTCGACGAGGCATCCGTCGCTATCAGCCCATCTAGAACAAGTTGGAGTATAAGCATCGACGAAGTTGTCGATGGTATCCTCGGCGACCACAACGTGTCTGCCCGTCCGTCCACAACGACTCACATCAACGAAACTGGCAACCTCACGTCTCCCGTTGCAGCTTCCCTCGCTTCGTCGTCGCCGAAGTCCCAGGTCCTGCCGGCCACCCTTGCCGCCGGAGAGGAAGGCGAGGTCGGGGGACGACAACATGTCACGTCCCCTAAAAAATCGAGGGTCGGCGGTCAAGCTCTCGACCTGCTCGCTTTGCCCGCGCCAAATTCCCCATCGAAGGAGCGGAGAGAGAAACACACTGGTAAGCCGTGAAGAACGCCACACTGCCTGCGTATCCGGATGTCGTCGGATTACAGTCCGCGCTGTGCACACGACGACTGTCCACACGGTCTGTCGATACGAGAAGTTCCAGATGCCACCATACTGCAGCCACCAGCCCTTCCTAATACATCTCGTCGGTTTATCTGTCACTCGGCCGGGTTGCTGGTCGAGGGCGGCAAAAAGTTCCTCGACAAACTTACACTCCATCCAAGGAAGGATCTTCCCCGGCTAAGGAAGTGGCCAAGGGGCTAAGGAAGTGGCCAAACACATGGACTGACGGTTTTCCCTTCTCGGGAATAGTGTCGGTTTTAGTCCGCCGGGATCTGAACTTCCTTTGTCGATGCGTGATGTGGTCAATCTCAGTGGGGCTGGTGTGTTGAAAAGTCCGCCGCAGTCCCAACTTCGGGGACTTTGGCTTCTGTGAGTTGTGGTGGTTTTCCTTTGCGAAGTGCGGGGGTGTTAAGCTAAAATGTTGCAGTCGTTTTGTTTTCCAGTATCACAACTGCACCTGGGTGCACATGACCACGCGAAATCAGGGTCCTATGCTCGGAGAGGTCTTGCTTGACTGTTGCGTCTGTGCGATTGTGTGGTTCTCATTTTCCGTTGAGTCTTTCTTCTGTTGTATAGGGGTGGGGTCGTCTCGAACATGGAGGTCCTCCAAATATCCTGAGCACATATTGCAGAAAGTCCCCGGGTTGACTACAAAACACAAGGATATGTTAAAGGCATCAGGGGTTGATGTCGAGATCGGGAAGAAGGAGAACAATGTTGCCATTGAGGAATGTCTTTCCCTTCTTGCCCCAGAGAAAGGGACATATCCACGATTTGTGAGTAGGGGTCAGGCTATGTATGAGAAGTACTTAGCAATGCGTCATGCTCCGGGGGACAATGCCTAGAACTTCGTTTCTCACTACCCCACGTGTCCTTTGCTCGATGTTGAGCAGTGCGGGTCGCAAGTGCAGCACACGAGAAAAGTTTCGCTACAGTGATTGCGCCTCTGAGCTTGCGGGTTTCGGACGACATTTTACGAGGCTCGGTGCCGTCTCACACTGTTCTCTCTATACTGGGCGATGGCCAATTTCGAACTACAGCAAAAGATCTCCTCACCCTACTGCATGTCGATGACAGGGTGAATGATGAGGTGGTCAATTTCTATATGGCGTTGTTGGGGTCAACCGCATGTGGGTCACGTGACATCTCGTCGGGTCTTCAAGTCTTCAGCTTTAATTCGTTCTTCTTCACTAAACTGCGACTTCAAGGACATGATGGGGTGCGGATGTGGGCTAGAAACGTAGATTTGCTTCGTTACGATATTGTCTTCATTCTTGTCCACAAAGATGATGATCACTGGATCCTCCTTTCCGTCAACATGAGAGATGATGTTCTCGAAATTTTTGATTATTTATCTCGCGTTGTATCTGATTCTAGTTTTTACCTTTCTGTTTTCGGGTTGATTGTGCAGTATTTGGAACGTCAAACATCACATAGGCGGTTGGGTAGGAGTTGAAAGTCGATAGTGCGAAATGTTGTGGTGGATGGAGTTTCGAGACAAGTGGATGGAGCAAGCTGTGGGGTGTTCGTGTTGATGTATGCGACGTTGTTGTAACGTGGAGATCGACCGCCTTTCCAGTTCTCTTATAAAGATATTCCGCTTCTTAGACGACAATTAGTATCATGTATCTTATAACATCATTGTCTTTGATGGATTTGATTGACTAAAACTATTTTCTTAAGGTGTTTCATTCGTTGTTCATTGAATTCTGTAAATCGCGACACCTGAACTAGTCGGGTTCATGCCGCCTGAGCCAGTACTGTAATATCCTTTATGTCGTGTCCGGGATTATTTTTTACGAACCTTCGTGTTTATCCTCTTCTTCCTCTACTTTCGTTCTTCTTCTTTTTTTTCTTCTTTCCTCAATAGTTGCGGATTGTAACTATCTGGTGCATTGGTTTGTTGTTCTTCGTTCCATAATTGTGGTTGATGACTTTTGACTTTGCCAAAGTAGCCTTTCAATAGACCTACAAATCCAGACCTATGTCCTGATACCCTACGACCCTGAAACAAAAGAAAAAGCGCCTCAGGCCCGAAAAACCTCGCAAACCAACAAAACCACCTGAAATAATCTTACGACACGGCCTAAAAACTGCAACAAACTGGAAGAAGAAAAAAAAGTTGAACAGTTGTAGAAGGCATAGATGAAATCCTCCTATTGGACGAGGGACCATGACAATTAGGTTGCCGCCATAGGCTAAGCCGACTTAGTCAGTAGATTACGGGAAGGCAAGACGTAGGAAACTGTCACTTACTCTTGGTAAGTTGCAAGATCGGAGGGCACGGCTAACAAGGATTCTGCACCTGAACATGTTCGACAACCAGATTCTTCAGCAGTGGCTTCGGTGGTTTTCAGCAGCAGTTTTTCGGGTTCTGTTTCTTTAGAGGGCTTGATGGCCTTTTCTAGGCCATAGGAGGCCTCCTTTTCGTAGAGGTCCAACCGGACTGATCCCCATATAAGGGTGACCAGCATTGGGCCAAATCGAAGCGGGAGGGACAATTTTGAAATTGCGCACTCAATATGGGCATTTCCAAAGGATTACTGGGGCCTGCTATTACTATTTCTAGCAGAGACTCCCCGTGGGGCCCTGTGCTTTTGTCCTTCACCCTTTCTTCGTTTGCGATTGCGGTGCCGCGACGTTTTTCGTACCTGCAACGCAACAAGACGACCACAGTGTTAAGTTTTCACCGTACGGTAACTACGATCGTTATCTTGAGAAGGCAAGTTTTCCATAGCCCCTCTCTTCCCATAGCCTTTTTTCGAAGGTAACGGGCGAACTTACCTTCCCCAAACTAAACCTCCTTTTCGGATCGCAACTAAAGTCAACTTCGACTCAACTTAAACAGATGCATGCTTAGGTACATCACTATTACAGGATTTATTGTAAGAAGAAGTTAACTTACTCGGGTCCGAGCATAAACCTTAGACCGGTTAAGATCTTTTAAGATTTCAGGCCAAGATCTTTCTTCGTCGTCCCAATATCAACCAGAGGACGGATGTAACGGCCGCACTTACATAGAAACAAACCCGTTCTATTCGAAGGAAGAAATATGTTTGTTTGTACGATGAAACGCGTCACTTGGGTTGATCTAAGCTTCAATCGTCTTTAGAACCGGAACGACTTCACGAAGGTCTTTCCACCACCACCTTTAAAACTTCCCTCAACGTGTTATTTGTTAAAATAGGACATTATACTGTGTCCTCTTTTCAACGAATTCATTTGTGGCTGCAGCCTAAGCAACGTTGGCATGCCCATCCAGGGCTTAACCACATGCAGAAGAGTGCTGAGATCCGCACTTGTGAAACTTTATAACTGAAATCCCAAATGCAGAAGCGTGTAAAGACCCACACATGTTAGGCACGCCACCCGCGAACCCTGTGTGGAAGTGTGTTGGGATCCTTACTTGTTGAACTTCAAAAACGTGTCGGTGATCCTGTGGGGAAGTGTGTTGGGATCCGTACCACTCAAACTTCATAAACGAATAACGAATGACACGCCACACAGGGAACCCTTTGCGGAAGTGTGTCGGGATCCTTACTTGTCAAACTTCAATTTCATAAACTTTAATGTGATGAAATATGTTATATTGTGACATTGTCCTCTTTCTTACAAAATCGTTTTTCACTGCAGTGTTTCCACATAGGCGTGCCCATCCACTCGACCCAAATGCGAAAGTTTGCTGACATCCGTAGTTGTTGAATTTTGTAAGCAAAATTAGCAATGTAATCAAATTGAATTGGAGAGGCTCGGTATAAATCTTTCGGTTATTCCAAAGTTACACTCGGCCCAGGTTCATCGTCTCGCTGAAGACGGTTGTTTAGATGTATGATGAGATCCGAACTTGTTTAGAAGACTAGTGACGCTGACAATGGGCGGGAGTTTGCGGAGATCCACACTTGTTAGACTCAAAGCTTACGTATGTGATGAGCAAGGTGTCATGATCGAACCGTTGTTGGTCAACACATCAAATTTTTGTTTACCTGGTTAGCCTTAAGTTATGCAAGCTCACCCATCGTCTCACCCGAGACGATTGTTTGGATGTTGAAGAGATTCGGACTTCCGCATAAAGGCACGGTCATCATCTCGCCCGATATGAGGGCACTGAGGAATACACTTGTTTACAATTGTGATGGGCAAGGTGTATTTTAATAATCATTTTTTTTCGAATTTTCTATGCACAAGTATAGAACTTGAAATTGTGTTCATTCACGATGAAAATCCGCAGTTTAAATAGTAATGCAAAGAAGGTTTGGGCATCCACTGGCCACTTTCACATAAGATGATATTTCTCATGCATCCACCAATCAGTTTCACAATCATGTAAACACTTCCCTTTTGAAACATGGAACATAATACTTGTAGTGGAACAAAATTCGAAACATGGAACATAACGTACGGCATGTTCCGCTGCATTAGAAACGACTGCGACGTGACAGAGATCACAAAGCCCATACATGACGCAAGACATGCAATGAGCTTGTTGTAGACAACCCAAACTCGGAACGACAAAAGAAAGCAATGTCTTTGGCAGAAGGACAGTTGAAAAATGTCTCCATGCTTAAGAAAATAATTCAATGAACAATGAACGGAACACCTTAAGAAAAGAGTTTGCAAGTCAATCAAATCCATCAAAGACAACAATGTTGTAAGAAACATGATGGTAATTGTCGTATAAGAAGCGGAATATGTCGCCGTAAAGGTGCAACGAGAACATAACATCTTGTGTATTTATGAGATAGTAAATTCAGCGTCGTCAAGTCTAAAAACAACTACTCTCAGTTTGTCAATCATCCAGATCAGAAAAGAAAATAAGAAAGAACAAAATGAACAAAACCGTGAAACCCAACCAGATGATTAAGTACCTAGACATACAAAATGGTCTAGAGACAAAAAAGAGGTAGGGACAATTGTCACTCGTCAAAACCCAAGTGCCAAAAAATCAACCGGAGTTCAAGGCCAAGCCTCCTGTATGGTCAACAACATCCTCCAGACCAAAAGCGCTGC